AAGAAGCAGCTATCACATCATTGTAATAGAGGTACTTGTTTAATCGAACTTTTCTTTTTCTGTATTCCCAGCTTCAAAAAATACCCCTTCCTTACATTCCTCTGTTTTCATCTTTTTCTGGTTAAGTTATTATATGATTTAATCCATAATCTGATAGCTAGAATTTCCTCTCAGTCTAAAGGGGGTGGAGTGGTAAGTAAATTCATCAGTTTGAGGAGAATATGGGGGCAGCTGTTGTTCTTTCATCAAGATGTTCATCAAGATGCCTGTTAGATGCCCTGGGGTGGCAGACGTGGACAAGAATATGGTGTTTAGGAGGCTGGTGCCCAGTGGAGGAAATAGGAACAGGAGGTGATGAAAGCTAAGATAAAGCCGTATCTAAAATGTCATGGATGCTCAGAAGGACTTGGGAATTCTGACCTGGATGGAGGATGGGTTTACAAAGGCTTTCAGAAGAAGGGGCACCAGCATGGGGCCTCTGAGTGTGAACAGGAGGCCCACAAATGTGAGACGGTCTTTCTTGACCCAAGGATAATCTTCAGGCAAAGATGTAGGATTGTGAAAATTCAGGAAAAAACTTCTTTCCTTTCAAATCAGCTCCTCTTTTTGCCTTGCATATACCAGTTAGTGGCTCCACCATCCACCCGACTCCCTGTATCTTTGTGTGGCCAATAACAGGAAAACCCAATCCAAGCTGGCTTAAGTGACAGGGTGATTCCTAGATGGCATACCTGAAGAATCCAGGATGTCGTGGTCCATTCCTCCAGCAGCCCATGTGTGTCGCTGGGGATCTGTCCTTGCTTTGTTCTACACATGGTCTGCTTCAATCTATGGCTTATTCCCCTGGGTTACAAGAAAGATGTTTATCAAGTCTACAAGCTTCCTTCTTCCTGTCCAGTGGGGCAGATCATTTGGTTCCAGTATTCCAGTAGAAAGTTCTGACCAGGAATTCTGACATTTGTCCTCATTGCTAGGTTTAGATCACATGGTTCTCCTGAACCAAAACCAAAAGCTATAGCCGGAGAGGTGGAATGTGCTAGTCAGTGTAAGTCAGTCAAGGCCCACCTTTAAAACTGGTATAAAAGTTACCTTCCCCAAAGCGCATGGGCTGCACAACTGGGAAGATTGGTGGGGGGAAATTCCTGAGACACAATTTGGGTGCTTTTGGGAAGGAGGAGGCTGGGTAGAATATAATGTCCAGCACCATCACTACGCAACTCAGGAACCTGGGAAGAATTCAGTATTGCTTTCTGTCTCCCCTGTCCATATCCCACCAGGCGATACATTCTGCTGATGCTCCCTTCGTAGCATCCTTCTGTTCATCCAGTTGCCTTTGTTAAAACCCTCGTCATTTCTTACCCATACACCTAAAATGCCTCCTGACTGGTGTTTCTCTGCCTTTACTCTCTACTTGCTCCAACATTCGTTCGTATTTCCATCATAGTGATGTTCAAACCCAAAAGATTTGATTTTGTTACTTCCCTGCTTATAACCCTGCTTTGTTTACATAATAAATTCTAAACTCATTGGTAAGTCATATGCATCTTCTAAGATCTGTGTATTAGTTTGCTAAGGCCACCGGAGCAAAATACCACATGCTGGATGGCTTAACAGAAAGTCTCTCATAGTTCTGGATACTGAAAATCCAAGATCAAGGTAGCACGGCTGGTTTCTCCTAAGGTCTCTCCTTAGCTTGCAGACAGCCACCTTCTTGCTGTGTCCCCACATGTCCTTTTCTCTGTGAATGCACATCCCTGGTGTCTCTTCTTATAAGGATACCAGTCATATAGGAATATGACCTCACTTAACCTTACCTTCTCATGGGCCCTAGCTCCAAATATAGACACTTTAGGTGTTAAGGCTTCAATATATGTATTTGGGGGGGACACAATCCAGGCCATAACAATCTGATTTCCATCTTTATCCTCTGACACTTCATCATTATTTCCCTACAATATGGTTTCCCAATTAGCTAGAGATGTCTGCTGGATACAACCACATGCATCAACCTTCCTATTTCTTGCCTCAAATCTACTGAATCTACATATTCTATCTCTTTGTAGATATTTCATATGTATAAATGGAACCCACAAAAAACAGAGGAAAACAATAGAGTGTGTGTCACTGGAAGACCAGAAGGATATAGTAGTTCCTGTAAGATAGAAAGCAGACAGGATCAGATTGATAGAAAAACTGGAGCAAAGAAAAATACAGCTTAGACCTTGATAGGCAAAAACTACTACTAAAGAAACTGGAGCAGTTCAGGGATATTTTCAGCTCAGTCAACAGATACCTGGAGCAGGAAGAGGTGCTGGGCTAGAGATGGAAGAACTCAATTCAGGAGAGTCAGGTCAAGGCCTGCTTCCACAGCACAGAGTAAAACAGGGAGGATGTCAGACAGATTAGCATGGGCCCTGCACAGGGATGATGCGAATTTGTGAAGCATCACTTATTTTTCACAGTATCACCCTACAGATTACATGCTAATCACCAAGAAGAAAATTACTTTAACAGTGGAGAGATCTGGAGGTCACCACCATATAGAAGTGATCAAACGTGCCACAATAGTGGTAGGACAGCCTGATATGAGGTGTCTGTAGATATCATGTGACATAGTATGTGCCAAATCACCCAGGAGTGTTCTTGAAAAAGTATTTAAACTGAACCAGTCAAGCCACTAGACTTGACTTTACAGGAGAGATGAGAGTAAGTGAGGGAGAAACTTGAGGAAAAGTTCAACCAGAAGAAACAAGTAGACAGAATCAGAATGCGGAGCTTTGTTTAAGGATATTAATAAAATATTGTCTCAGGGAATCTGATGCATGACAAAAGACATAAGTTTATGACCTCAGAAATACTTAGGATGGTGCCTCATAACCCTCTCAGGTACACAAAGAGCTCTCTAAGAATCATAAGGGATGCCTCATAGCTCCTCTCTGATAGACAGTAGTGCTTCTAATATTCCTATAGATGTGGTCCAACAGCCAACAGCAGTCTCACAAGGAGCCCAAGATAAAGAAAGGCATATCTCTAAGAGCCTGACCTCGACGTCATAGTGAGATGAAATTTTGGAGGAGTTATGGGAAAGGGTGTGTGTATTCTGCATGTGAGAGAAAGGCAAATAATTTGTGGCCAGAGGGCAGACCATGATAGTTTCTAAAACATAGCTTCAAATTCTCTGTGACTAGTTCAACAAATACAGCATGACAGAAATGATGCTATGTGACTTCTGAAGATCAGCTATAAAAGGCAATGCAGTTTCTATCCTCTATTTACCAAGGATCCATGAGCCATTATATAAGAAAACTGACCACTCCAAGGTCACATGGACATGCTCTGGTGAGCAGTTCCAGCTGAGTCCAGCCTTCGAGCCCTCCCAACCAAGGTGCCAGACTTGACAGCAGATCCATGTTGGACTCTCCAGACAGTCCATCTTCCAATGAATACCACCAAGTGGCTTTTGCCAATGTCATGTGAAACAGATGACTCTCTTGACTGAGCCCTGCCTGATACCATGATCTACAAAATTGTGACATAAGTAGTTGTTTTAGGCTACTAAATTTTTTGAGTATTTTAAAATTTCTTTATATAGACAACCAGAACAGAATTTAGTTCTTCAAAGTCAATGTCATGGTGGTGGTGGAGATGGGGCAGTGAGGAAAGATGGTAGGTCGTTTCAAAGGGCTATAGTAATCGAATGCAACAAGTCAGCCTTGATTGGCTCTGGGTTCAAAAACTAGCTTGCAAATACTTTGGAGATAAGTGGGGAGACTTGAACACAACTATTAGATAATGTTTTTAGGAAATTACTGCTAATTTTGCTAGACACAATCATGTTATATAGAAAAATGTCTTGAATTCTAGGAGACATTCCTGAAGTAATTATAGATAAAGTGTCATGATTGTAAATTACTTTACAGCGGATCAGCAAAACAGTCATATGCACACACCCCAAAACAGCAAAAGGTTAACAATTGCTTGAATCTAGGTACTAAGTATTAAATTCTTCATTATGTAATTCCTTTAACTTTACTGAATGTGAAAATTTTGTAATAAAAAGGTGAGAAAAAAATCAGGAAAAATAAAAAAATTCCCAACTTCATTGGTCATCAAGGAAATGCAATATAAAACCAAGACATAAGACCCACTAGAATGGCTAAAAATAAAGGAACAGAAGTATAACAAGTAGAACTCCCTAAGCAATCACTGGTGCAGTGCAAAGTGGTACAACTACTTTGGAAAACTGCTGGCAATATAAAACGTCTTGATTTTAGCCCTTTGAGACCCATTTCAGACTCTGACCTCCACAACTAAAAAATAATGCATTTGCATGGTTGTAAGCCACTAAGCTTGTGGTACTTTGTTAAGCAATAATAGGAAAGGAATAAAAATAGCAATGACATTATTAGAAAAAATGTTAATGCACAACCACCTTCAGTTTTTATTACTATGAAATCTTTCAGGCACACCAAAAAGTCATAGTTATCTGATTTCCTATTTATTTGAAAATTTATTTATTCCTGCACAACAAGGAAATAATAAGCAATTTAAATGCAAATCTGATCTTTTTCCCCTAAAACCATTAATGGTTCCTACAGCGTACAGGAGACAGCCTAAAACTGCTTCTGACTGGTCTCCTGCTCGTAGCTTTGACTTAATCCTCTGCCTGTCCCTTTAGCAATGCTGAATTTCTGGTATTCTCCTCACTCCTTAAGTTCATTCATGCCTCTGTGTTTGCTGTTTCCTATGCATGGATAACTTTTCCTCCTCTCTTCACCTGCCTAGTCTTTTATTCCTCCTTTAATTCTCAGCTCAGAGGTTCTCTCCTTCACAAAGTCTTCTCACCTTTAGATTCAGCTTAGTTCCTTTTTTATTTGTAGTATAGAGATAGTATCCTCTTGAAACAGTTGTACTCATCCTTACTGTATTATAGTGAAATTGTTTGGACTCCCCTGCCAGACCACAAGCTCTTTGAAGACAGTAGCTTTCTTCTTGGTATATACCAGTGTTTGGTGATTGTTGGCTAAAGTGCATCTACTAAAGCTCCTTCAATATACATGAAAGAGTTGTGTAATGAGCTCTACATTAAAAAGAAATATATACTGGAGAACAGGATTAAATCAAAAATAGTAATATCATCTAACTTTGATATATGAAGGATCACATATTGCTCTTCTATTTTTTGAAAGTCACTTTTTGGTTTTATAAATTTCATTTCATTTTAAGCAATGTTGAAACTCATATTAAATGTCAGCAACTATAACCAAAACAAATTCTTTTTTTCACCTATCAGATGGGCAACGATTCATAAAATTTGAGAAGACACTGTGTGGTATAAGACTATAATAAATTGGTTTGCTCTCTTTGGAGGGCAATTCAGCCACTATTAAAATACAAACTAAACATACTTTTTGATGCAGCTATTTTATTTCTAGGATATTTTTCTACAATATTGTACACATTTATAAGATATGTACAAGGACATTCACTGAAGCATCTAAAAGATTAGAATCAACTAAACCTATCAACAGAGCACTTGTAAAATTAATTAAGGCAGTTTTACAATGGAACACTGTAAATCGATTAAAAAGAATGAGATAGGTTCATTACTGATTTGATGTGATATCCAAATTATATTATGTCATTTTTTAACTGTTGATGATTTTAGTGATAAAGATAATGATAACTGATAAAGACAATTGATAAAGAATGCAAGCCAAAAATATACTTCTGAAAATATCGACTTTAAATTTTATTTATTTGGTACTAATTTTTGGTGATAGACTAAGTAAAATTAGTGACACAAGTCAAATGATGCAGGAATCATATTTAGTGTGCATAATGCTCTTGACAACATCAAATGATTAAGACATTCTTTGAAGAAAACCAGTGATTGTATTTATCAAATATCTGTCATTGATGCTAAGCAAATTGTAGAATTTGTTTATTTTGACACCAAATTGTCCACCATTAAAAAAAATAAAGGAGGAAGAAGACCTTCAACTGAAAACCTCATGAACATAAAGTTACATTATCAAATGAGGAAAAAAAAACCCCACTGAAATAAGAAAAAGAAATAAAAGACATACAACTCAGAAAGGAAGAAACAGAACTGTCCCTATTTGCAGAAAAACAATGACAACACCAAATGCTGGAAAGAATGCAAAGAACCAGAATTGCTGATGGGAATGTAAAATTGTTAAAAATATTTGTCAATGTCTTATAAAATTAAATGTACAACTACCATATGCCCCAGTGATTGTACTCTTGGGTATTTATCTAAGAGGAATGAAAACTTATGTTGATTCAAAAACATGCATGTGATTGTTCACAGCAGCTTTATTCATAATAGCCCCAAACTGGAAGCAACCCAGATTCCCTTTAGTGGTTAATGGCTTAACAGACTGTGGTACCATGGAGTTCATCCATACCATGGAATTCTGCTCAGCAATAAAAATGAATGAACTACTGATACATGCAATGCCTTAGATGAATCTCCAGGAAATTATGCTTAGAGAAAAAAGCAATAGCAAGAGGTTACAGACTGGATGTTTCCACATATAACAGTCTTGACAAGACAGGCTTAGAAATGGAGAATAGTGCTTACCAGGGGATCTGTATGGGGGAGGGGATATGAGGGAGTAGGGTATGGTTATAAAGGCAACATGAGATCCTTGTGGTGGCACTGTTCTGTGTCTTGACTGTGGAGGTAGATATACAAACTTACTAATCTGGTAAAATTGTTTAGAGCTTAATACACAAAGGGAAAAACAAGTAAAAGTGGGGAAATCTGATTTAGGTGGATGGAGTGTGTCAGTGTCAGCATCCTGGTTGTGATACTGTAGAACGGTTTTGCAAGATGCTGCCTTTGTGGGGAACTGGGTAAAGGGTACATGGGTCTCTCTGTATTACTTCTTAAAATTGTACGTGAACCTACAGTTATCTAAAAAAATTTTAAAAAGATGAAGAATCATGTGTGTAGCATGCTACCATTTTTGTAAAAATGGGGTTCTCTATTTATAGATATGTTTATCTTTGCATAGAATACTTTGAGAAAGATAATAACAAAAATGGTAACAGGCTTCCTCTGGGAAGGAAATCCAAGAGACTGAGGATCAGGAGAGGAGGGAGACACTTTCCCTGCATAATCATTTGCACAGTCTGACATTTTATACCTGTGCATCTATTACTTCTACATTAAAAACTTAAAGAAATTAAAATATAAAGTAAATGTAAATTTTAAATAAATATGTATTTTGCAGTGAAAGTAAAGATAAGCACTTATAAACCATCATTTTATGTACCATAAAGATCCTATGTCCCTTTGAAGAGAAATCAGAACTTTTATTGGGAGGAGGAGGAATGGTTTCTGGGCAAGTGCCAGCAGCATGCACCCCTGTCAGGCCTCTTGTGTCTCCTAATTTATAAGTTTGGTGTGCGAGGGGTACCACTGTACCCCATGAACTGAAAAAGGCACCCTTTGTCAACATTCTGCAGTAGGCTGTGCACACAGCCCCCTGACTGTTCCAAGCCACATGGTTCAGCCCCAGGGGAATCTTATATCTTCTGAAATATCATTACACATAATTTAAAATTTAAAATCAATCATCAGTCCCAGCCACGCAGGTGTTCTTGTGTATTAACATGTTGAATTGGAGGGTGTGCTGAAGGTAAAGAAGGCCCATGCTTCCATGAGCCAGGAACACCCCTCTGATGATTCTGATCCCTCAAAGTGAAGCTACTTGTGGCTGTGTGATCTTTAGAAATAGGCCCAGTTGCCTGTTCACTTAGTTTATGATGGTCAATATCACATCATTACTGAGGTCTTTCAGCTTCTTTACATCTGATCATGTTCCATCTAATATTTATAGGTAGAACCTCTTTTTAGGAGATAAAGGTTTTTATTTAACANCCCACCCCTTTTGTAACCGCTAGTCGCTTCTTGGAGTCTGTGAGTCCGCTGCTCTTTTGTTCCTTCAGATTTGCTTTGGTTTAATAGTCCACAAATGAGTGAAATCATTTGGTACTTGTCTTTCTCCGCCTGCCTTATTTCACTGACCATAATACCCTCTAGCTCCATCCATGTTGTTGCAAATGGTAGGATCTGTTTGAAAATGCATGATTTTAATAAAGTTTTTTGTTAATGGAAAACCTTCTTAGCTTTACAGGAGTTAGATCTTTGATGCACTTTTGTATTTACAAATAAGGCCAGGCTTAGGCAAAACCGAAAATTGTGGTGTGTGAATGTGTGTGAGAGAGAGTTATCTTAAGTGTCCCCTTTGGGTATGCATTCTGTCACTGAGGCTGGACATTTCACTGGAGACCTCTGAAAACCACCTCTCTTTAGCTTGCTCAGTCCTCAGAGGCTGTGCAGGAAGGCCCACCTTTCCTGGAACACCAAGGTCATGCTCTGAGCAGGCTGAGCTCCATGGTGGGGCTTCCCTTGCCTGCTTATGCTGGTACCCTGACTTCTGGTGTGATAGCTGGGTTCATATCTAGGGTGACCAACTATTCCAGTTTGTCTAGGACTAAGGGGTTTCTTGGAACACAGGACTTCTAGTGCTAAACTGAGCCAGTCCCAGAGTAAAGACTTAAACCTAAGATCTGAAACTATACAACTTTTAGGGAAAAAAATGAGGAAAATCTTAATGACATTGTTGTTAGCAATTATTGCATGGATATGATACCAAGAACTCATGGAACCAAGGCAAAAATAAACAAGTGAGATGGTAGTACTGCATGGAGAATATAGCCAATGATTCTGTGACATCTTACTATGTTGATAGATAGTAACTGTACTAGAGGGGGTAAGGATTTAATAATATGGGTAACTGTTGAACCACTGTATTGTGCATTTGAAACTGATATAAGATTGTATATCAATGATACTTCAATTTAAAAAAAGAAAATAGACAAGTGAGACTATGTCAAACTAAAAATCTACTGCAGAGCAAAGGAAACCATCAAGAGAATGAAAAGCAATCTATGACACGGGAGAAAATACTTGCAAACCATATAACTGATAAGGACTTAATTTCCAAAACATACAGGGGTGTCTCATACAACTCCATAGCAAAAAACTAAAATCTCAATTAAAAAATAGGCAAAGAACTCAAATAGACATTGCTCCAAAGAGGACATGCAAATGACTAATATGTATACAAATAAAGTGCTCACTATCATTAATTCTCAGGGAAATACAAATGAAAACCACAATGTAATATCACCTCACAGCTGTTAGGATGGCTACTCTCAAGAAAACAAAACAAGTGTTGGCGAGGATGTGGAGATATTGAAACTGTTGGTGGGAATGTAAAACAGTGCAGCCTCTATGGAAAATAGTATGGAGGTTCCTCAAAAAGTTAAAAATAGAATTACCATATGTCTCATAATTTCCATTTCTGGGTATAGATCCAAAAGAGCTGAAATCCGGATCTTGAAGAGATAATCTACAATCCAACCTTCATTGCAGCAGCATTCACAGTAGCCTAGACATGGCAACAATTCAAATGTTCATCGACAGATGAATGGACAAAGAAGGTGTGGTACATACATGCAAGGGAATATTATTCAGCCTTAATAAAAGGAAGGAAATCCTACCATTTGTGACAACATGGATGCACTTGGAAGACATGCTAAGTTAAATAAGTCAGCCACAGAAGGACAAAGGCTGCATGATTCTCTTACATGAAGTTTCTAAAATAGTCAAACTTATAGAAGCAGAAAATAGAGTGGTCATTGCCAGGGAATGGGGGATGGAGATAGAGGGAGTTGTTCAATAAGTATAAAATTTTTTATGTAAAGATGAATAAATTCTAGGGGTCAGCTATACAACAGAGTGCCTATAGTTAATAATATACTGTTGTGTGCTTAAAAACTCAAGGGGGTAGATCTCATGTTGAATATTTATACCACACACACACACACACACGCACACGCACACACACAAAAGCAAAGGGACACAGGAAACGTTTGGAAGTGATGGACATGTTATTTCCTTGATTAAGGTGGTGATGGTTTCGTGGATACATGGATATATCCCAGCTCATTAAATGTATGTATTAAATATGTATGATTTTTTAAAATACATTGATTATATCTCAATAAAGCTGGAAAAAGAAAGGTAAGATATATAATTAATGAATGCTCTTTGGTCAGTGCCCTGAATCATCAACTCTGTACACTCCTGATGCTTTTGACATGTAAATCTCTGTTTAATGCTAAAATATAAGACCAAATGAAATATCCACTCCCTATTTTAAGATGAAAATATTGGGCTTTCTTTAAAAAAAAATGAGTCAGTTCCATTCACAGTAGTCAAAGATGGAAGCAACCCCAGTGTCCATTGAAAAATAAATGGATAAACAAAAGCGATATATTTATACAATGGAATATTATTCAGCCTTCAAAAGGAAGGAAATTCTGATACCTGCTCTAACATAGATGAACCTTGAGGAACATTATGCTGAGTGAAATAAGCCAGTCACAAAAGGACACATTCTGTATGATCCACTTATATGCAGTACCTAAATTAGTCAGATTAAAGAGACAAAAAATAAAATGGTGATTGCCAGCAGCTATAGGACCAGTGTTGGTCAATAGTTGCAGAATTTCAGCTGGGGAAGATGAAAACATCCTGGAGATGAAGGTAATGATGGTTTCACAAAAAATGTGAATATACTTAATGCCACAGTATTACTGAATGTACACAGAGCATAACAGAATGAACTTAATGCTGCTGTACACTTAAACTTGTTGAAATGGTAATTTGTTACACACATTTTACCACTACAAAATTTTAATTAAAAAAACCTCAGGTCAGTGCCAGACAAACTGAGATAGTTGGTCGTCCATGTCTTACATTCTGTGCTTTTCCCCTCCACCCATCCGTCATATAGATGTGTTTTGTTTTGCATTCTCACTCAAACCATGGTCCTAAACATGAAGTATTCCCTGGATTCAGCTCCTATTGTTTGAAGGGGGAGATTCTGAAACATGGGATCCCATTTT